TATCTTAAAAATAGAATTAAAAGTACATAAATAAGTATTTTGTATTATAATAGCTCTTAATTTTCTGCATATAGTTTGTTTCATTAAATTAACATTTAAAGGGCCATCTTGACCAAATACATTTTTACTTGAACTGGCTGAAATAACAGTACTAATAATACCAAAACCAGGTATAATTAATATATAAACCTCTGGGTGACCAAAGAATCAGAAAAGATGTTGGTATAATATAGGATCACCACCACCTGCTATTTCAAAAAAAGATGTATTAAAATTACGATCAGTTAATACCATAGTTATTGCACCAGCTAAAACAGGTAAAGATAATAATAATAAAACAGCTGTAATAACAACAGCTCAACCAAATAATGCAAGTTTATGTAATTTAATACCAGGGCTTCTCATATTAATAATAGTAGTTATAAAATTAATAGCACCTAATAAACTACTAATACCACTTAAATGTAAACCAAATATAGCTAAATCTACACTAGGTCCACTGTGACTTTGTATTCCAGCTAATGGTGGATAACATATATGTTGGTAACCTCATTTTTTTAAGAAAAATTATCGTTACACGCAGTAAATCTCTTTACTGTTCGGACTATACCTTCATCTATAAAAATAATTTCAATTATTTATATTTTTCGCAAATCTCTAACTAAATTTCTTATTTTATATAATTGATTATAATTATTCTTATATTTAATATAAGATCTAGATCAAATTCTATATTCCAAAGATTTTACTCCTTTCATAGTGTTATTAAAATATATTATTATGTTTTCAATAGCTCTACTATTAGTTGTATCTAAAATATAATGATTATAGAATTCTTTATATTTTACTTTATTACCTATATGTAATAATATAGCTATTGATTCTAATACGATTTTATCAAGTTTTTGTGTAAGACCAAAACCATGTACTATTCGAGTTGTATCTTTTTTAGTTAAATAAAAGCTACCTTCAGCTTCTATAAACCCAATTAATCAATTTTTAGTCATTACATTATTTATGGAATTTTTATCAGTTAACGGTAAATAAGCTTTATTTCAAGCAGGAGAAATATAACTATTTGTAGGTTTTAAATCTTTTATTTTTTGAATTTCTATATCTTTTTTCTCTTTATCAAGCTCCATATTATTTAATATAATTAAGGCCTTTTTTAATTTAATATAATCAAAATGTTTTGTAGTTAAAAGAGGATACTTATCAAAAATAGGTATCAGTACAGTTTCTATAATTTTTTTATCTCTTATAAAAAATTGTACCTTTTTACCATCCTTTGTTATAGAACCAAAATTTAACTCTTTTTTTATATAATTTAAAATTCTTGCATTATAAGCTGATTGTGTTAATTTGAAACCTAAATTTCATTTTATTTTTCCTTTAAATTTTTGTTGTGATATATGAAAATTACCATCTCCATCCGTAAAACCCACAAATCATTGCTCAAAATAATTTAAATTACTTTTATTTTTATTAAGATGCTCTTCGTTTAGTCTCTGATGATTACTAAACAAACGTTTGTTAAATAATCAGGCGTATTGTCTCCTTGCTATATACATTTTTACATACGTCTGAATCTTATAAATTATCGACAGACATGAGTAGTATACTACGTATATTATATTTTCAAGATATAATATTAGAAGAGGTTCACGCATTGAGAAGAGTTTATATATATTTATATTTCTATAAAATAACTCCTTATCCTTATTAAGAGTTCAACCAGTACCTACACCATTTTCTATAATAGATGCAAATACAAATAGTAATAAACTAGGAATTAACAATCAAAAGCTGATATTATTTAATCTAGGGAATCAATTAAATTAAGTAAATTATTACCTAAATGGACTATATCTTCATCCATTATATAATGGAGCTTCGCGTGTAGTCTCTGAGGATCCTACTAATAATAAAAATACATTATAATATTTTATTTTTTGGTTTCCTGCATAACCCTCCCATGTATGTAAATGTTTTACAATAAATTCAGTCAATAACTAACTTTTAAACATTAAATAAATAATATTTCAATTTAGAGTCTTTACATCTGTTTAATAATTGAGAGATTATATGCTTATAGCGTAGTAATAATAATAAAGTTTACACTTTATAACGGCAATCCCTTGTTTAGAGAAGAATATAAAAATATCTAAAATAATCCATTCAAATGGTCTCAATTAAATTCAGTTCTATTTTTATTCATACGATTTTTAAGACGTTTTATAATAACTAAACCTTTTTCAGTATTGTGTAAATTATTATACAACAAATAAACAATTTGTTCTCAATCTTTATAATCTAAATATTTACTTGATAATAAAGGATATTTAGTTAAATAAAAAATAACATTATAAATAGAGGTTTTACTAGAAGCCCTTAAAATAAAATAAGGTTTTTTATATGATGTTTTATCTAATAACTTACAATTTAAAAAAGAAGATATATCTTTTAATATATTAATATAACCTTTATTAAAAATAGGATGATTAATTTTTTGTTCAATTCTTAATCTACATGAAATCTTTATTTTATCAGTTTTTACAGATTTAGTATATTGTACAGAAAAAGAACCTTCAGCATCTATAAAACCACTCAATCAACTAGTTTCAGAAAAATCAACAACATTTAAGGGTAATATATTAAAATCAGTTCTATGATTTAAATTTAATCAACGTATAAGATCATTTAATTGATATAATTTAGGTGTTTTTAATTCACCATTTATTAATTCAACTACATTTTTTAAACCTGACACGGACGAAACTATTAAAACACAAGCATTTTTTTTAGGCATATATCTAATAAAACCTGAACCTATAATATCTAGTATCTTTTCAGCTAATTTAACATTCCTTAAACCAAAAAGTATACAAAATCTAGGGTTTTTATTTTCAGGATAATATATTATACCATCACCTTCAAAAAACCCTGCTAAGTATGAACTTATATTTTTTTTAGATATTTTATCTGATAAATTTATATTAATCTCAGGGAGATCCCTTGTTTTTGCCATATCAGGACCTCCGACTAATAAAGGTAATAAGAAATTCATTAATTTACAATCGTTAAATTGTATTTGGACTATATATTCATCCACTTATTAAATGGAGTATAACGTATAGTCTCTGAGGATCCTCTATAAAATATATTTCATTTTATTTTCGTTTCCTGCAGATCATCCCTTTACATTTTTATTTATTTTTAGTGTTATATACATTTAATTTATAAATATTTTAAACTTTTACAACAACTATAATAAAACTTTAGGAACTTCCTGCATATAGTTATATTTTAATAAGTAATATTACTATTACTTTCGGCAATTTCTTTTTATAAAATTTTATACAATCTAATCTAAATGTGAAAAATCTAATTGTGTACGGTTTTAAACTTTTTTCAAACTCTAATAAATTTTTAGTTGTTAAACGTTTACCTGCTAATTTGTTGCACTACATTCAATCTTTATAATCTAAATATTTAAATGAATACAAAGGATAACCTTCTTAGTATATAACTTTAATATGACTTTATTTTGCAAAATTACAGTATAAGAATAAAAATAAATTTTTTTATATTTTGTTATATAGATCTAGAATATAAATTAACGTTTAAATATCTAGATATAATACACAATATATTTAAATAACTAATAGCTCCTATATAAACTGAACAATCTTTATTTATAAAAGCTTGTTTGTAATTATTATAGCTTTATTTTTTCTATTTATTATATTAATACTAAAATTACCATCTCCATCTGTATACCCTGCTAATAGTGTTTATAGGTGAAACATCTAAATTTATAAATTCTATTTTAGTTTGATAAAATTCATTATATCAATTTATTACATGATGTTGTAATGCTTCTATAGTACGCATATTTATAAGATTAATAATTTTTATAACAAAATTTTTAATATGTCATATAACACATAGTGGTTTATTATACAATTTACCAACATTAAGTATAGATTATAATTTATCATTTAAACTAAAATTTGAGGTATATATCTTTTAGTTTTATAATTATTAACATGTATAGCAAAAGACCCAATTTAACCCAACTAAATAAGCCCCTAATTTTATTCTTAATTTAGATTCTTAAATAATTGATTATATTGTATAGTTATTTATTTTAATTTTACCGAAACCTCCAATTAAAGCAGGCATAACCATAAAAAAAATCATCATTATAGCATGTGCTGTAATAATACTATTATATAGTTGATTATCTGCAATATATTGTACACCAGGTGCAGACAATTCAAGTCTGATTAGTACAGAGAAAGCTGTACCTAATAAACCAGAAAATAAAGCAAACATTAAATATAATGTTCCTATATCTTTGGCATTAGAAGATAAAAATCATCTTTCTCTTCACATTGTTAAATCAAACATACTAGTTTTGTCAACATTTGACGAAGTTTGATAGCTCCTAGATAAATTAAATAATTTACCACTTAAATTAAACATATCTTTATTGAGATAAGCTCTGATTATTTGTTATAGTACATAACTTTAATCTTTAAATAAATTTTAAGGAGGGTACCTTGAATTGAACAAGGATATACTATGCCACATACAGCTGTTCTACCTATTAAACTATACCCACCTAAATAAAAAAAAAATAAAAATAAAAATAAAAAGCCGGGAGAGAAAGTTGAATTCTCATTCTTAATTCATGAAATTATTGTTCTACCTATTGAACTATCCTGGCTTAATTGCTATAAATTATGTTGGAGCGATTCGAACACTCAATAATAAATACCAAAAATTTATGACTTACCTATTAGTCGACAACATATTATGGGTAACAAGACTCGAACTTGCAAAGTTAAAACTATTCCATCCTAAGTGGAACCTGGTTACCAATTTCAGCATACCCATTAATTAATTGCTCGAAATAAGACTTGAACTTATAACCTAAACATCTTCAGTGTTCCGCTCGACCAATTGAGCTTTTCGAGCTAAATTTATATTTTAGTTGGAGTTATCAGGAATCGAACCTGATTCCAAGACATGCAAAGCCCTTGTTTTACCAATTAAACTATAACCCCCTAAATATTTTTATCCGAAGAACGATTTGAACGTTCACGACTTGCGTCACTTAATCTTAAGTTAAGACTGTCTACCTATTCCAGCACTCGGATTTTTTATACTTTCTTTTTTTATAATTTAAGGCTAAAATGAGTCGAACATTTATCTAAGCTATCATGAGCAGCTGGCTTTACCATTAAGCTATAGCCTTAAAAAGTGTTTAAGCGGACTTAGGACTTGCACCTAAATAAGTTGATCATGACTCAAGTATGTTACTATTACATCAATCCGCCTTTAAAGTGAATAAAGTATAAAATATAAAATAAAAATCAAAAAGCTTTTAAGCGGACTTAGGATTTGCACCTAAATAAGTTGATCATGACTCAAGTATGTTACTATTACATCAATCCGCCTTAAAAATGTATATATAAAATATAAAAATGTATATATAAAATATAAAAATGTATATAAAAAATATAAAAATGTATATAAAAAATATAAAAATGTATATAAAAAATATAAAAATGTATATAAAAAATATAAAAAAGCTTTTAATGTGGACTTAGGTTTTGCACCACCTGTTGCTGAGACAGGTATGTTACTAATACATTAATCCGCATAAAATAAGAAATAGGTGATTCGAACACCTGACCTTTCGTGTGTAAAACGACAGCTCTACCGCTGAGCTAATTTCTTTTAACCCAAGAGAGATTTGAACTCTCGCACTAGCAGTGAAAATGCTATGTCTTAACCTAACTTGACCATTGGGTCTAAAACATAAGCCCAGTGCAAGTATCGCACTTACTTCAATCGATTACAAAACGATTACATTACTTTTATGCTAACCGGGCTAAAAATTTTATTATATAAAAATAAGATATGTGTTATATCTAGTATTTTAACAATTAGTACTTTATATCTAAAAATAATTAAAATTATTACAATTAAAGCCTATAAAAATAAATACGTAATATTCTATTACGTTTATTATAAGAGTATCTAATAGTAAGCTTCGTGCTTATATGCTTTCAGCACTTATCTATAACTGACTTAGCTTTCCTGCCATGCTTAATATATTAAGATACTTTAGTGAAAGTATTAATAAAATCTATATAAACAACAGGTAAACCATAGATCAATATTCCCAACTCCTTTCGTACGAAGGGATTATCTAATGTTTACTCTAATTTCCCCTAGAAGATAGAAACCATACTGTCTCACGACGTATTAAACCCAGCTCACGTAGCTCTTTAATCGACGAACAGTCGAACCCTTCATGATTTCTGCATTCATGTGGATGAGCTAAGCCGACATCGAGGTGCCAAACAGCGCACTCAATTTGTACTCTCTTGCGCATATAAGCCTGTTCAATTTATGTTATCATAAAAGTTTTCTTTTATTTCCATTTTTCTCAAAATGGTTCAGACTATTTCTTTATCTTTACTAATTATATATTTTTTTTAAACAAAATAAATTTTTTTAATAACCGCTTATTCAACCTTTTACACCAAAAGATCCTATATCAGTTTTAGATTTTAATAAGGTATATTCAACATTAGGTTTTTGTGTACCTCTTATTAAACTATGAGGTAATTTATCTAATGAAGAATGTATATTAATTAAACTACCTTTATATCTAACTTTGGATATAGATTTTGCAGCAGTGAAACGTCTAGTTAATCTACCTGTAATATGTAATCTTAAACCAGATAAACTTTTAAATCTAATATCTCTAAATACAGTTTTTTTTAAAGAATTAGATTTAATTTTATTCCTTTTTAATAATAGATATATTAAATAATTAGGTACATCTAAATTATTAATTTTTAAATTAACTGTATAATAATTCATATAATATCTTAATAAATCTAAATCATATATATAATGTTTACTTTTTATTTTTGGTTTTCTGATAATTCTTTTTAAAAATCTTATTTTTTTATTTTTATTTTTATCTATTTTTAATTTCAAAGTTTCTGTTAATATATCACTATTTAAATAATAATATTTAAGATTAATAAAATTAAATTGTATATTTTTATTATATATTTTCTTTATAAAATTAGTTAAATTATGTAAATAATAATTATTAAATTTAAATTTATTAATAAATACTAATTGTTTAAGTAAAATATACTTTTTTATCTTAGATATATTTTTACGTATATATCTTTTTTGACGTTTAGTATGATAATTTTGAACATATTTAATTCTAGAAACCTTATTTAGTTGTAGTGATCTTATCGTGTGTAATTTTTTTTTATTCTCTTTAGCTTTAACTTTATGAATTCTTTTTTTTAATATTAGTATTTTTTTTAATTTAAAATATTTCATTAAAGATTTAAGCTTCTTTGATAATTTTTTTTTTAAATTTAATAATTGTTTATTATAAATATATATAGTAATATCAACTAAATCATTAGTATGTTTAAATTCACCATTACTAACAAATATTTTATTATTTAAAAATCTTCTATTACATATAACATTTCATACATTTATTTCTTTATATTTTCTAAATCTAGCTTCTAGATTTAAATTAAATAAATTAAAATATTCTTTAATAAGTCTATTTGTTATTTTTTTAGCATCAACTAATGAATATAAAGTATTTTTATTATAAACATAAATAAAATTTTTTCAATTTCTTACCAGAGCTGGATATTTTAAAACTTTTTGATATGAATTTTGGTTTAGTAAAACTTGTTCTTTTTTAGGTTTAAAATTTAATTTCGATTTAACAATATTTAACATAAAAATAATCAAAATTATTATTAATATAATATTTTTATTATATAATAACAAAGATTTAAAATCTATTTCATTAACAAATATGTCAATAATAATACAGATATATAAATATAAATATATATATATATATATATATATCTAAAAATAAAAATATATAACTAATAAAGATATTGGGAGTATATAAAAGGATTATTATTAGCATTATTCACCTTTTAGTCGTTGAACGTTCTTATTTATAAATATGCTTAAATAAGCTTCGCTTCAAATAGACTTAAAAATTGCAAAGCAATATAAGTTATTTTTGAAATTTACCCAAAATATTACCAATATTTCAAAATATTGGAGGACTAACAAGTAATCCCTAGCGTAACTTTTTCTATAATCCAAGACCTTTCCTTTCTGCATCTTGTGATCATATGCCCCGCTTACGCGACTGATAGACTTGTAAGTCAAACAGTAAAGCAAGATTATGCCATTAAACTTTTAAAGTATAAAAAATTCTTATAATATAAAAGATATATTATTCTTTTATATTATAAATAATAATCAATCAAATTTTTGATTAATTATTAATATACATCTATTTACCATATAGTTAAAATCTTACCTAAATATAAAAATAAAAACGTATTTAATACAATAATAACTGGATAATTATTAATAATTAATAACAAAATAAAAAAAAAAATAAAGTATAAAAACATTTATAAATTATTTTTGTAAATTAAAATTTACAAATTTACAAAATGAACTTTGGATATACCCAGGTACTTTTTATGGGATCTGTGCCCCGCATAAACTGCCTTCCAATCATAAAGAATACAATTAAACAATTAAAGGTGTTTCAATTTTATCAACAATTACCTTATACTCTAAAAATTATTATATTATATTCTTAATTAGTAACAGTAAAGCTGCATAGGGTCTTCTCGTCTACCTAGAGGTAAGCAGCATCTTCACTGCTATTTCAATTTCACTGAGTCAATCCTCGAGACAGCTGTTGTATCGTTACGTCATTCATGCAGGACCGCATTTAACGGCCAAGAAATTTCGCTACCTTTGGACCCTTATAGGTACATGGTTAATAAAATTTATCATACAAAAATTTTATTCTCGATTTAAATTCATATTTTTTTTTATATCTAATATTTCATTAAACCCTTTTTCTGTTAAATGATTTTTATTTTTTACAATATTAGCAACTTTTTTAAAATCAAAATAATCTAATTCTTTTATTCCCTTAATATTGTATTGATCAAAGAATGGTATTATAATATTTAATATATCTCCCGTATTTACAATCTGTAAAGCTACTGAAGTATTAGTATAATAAATATACTTATTATCTTCGAATTTAAAAAATTGGGCTATTCCTTTTATTACTTTATCTTCTCTATTATGTAATGTAATAGATAATCTTAATTGTACTTTACCTATCCGAGATTTGGTAGTTTTAATATTAAAACTACCATCTCCGCTTACAAAACCTGAGATTCAATAAGGATTAGGAATACCTTCGAATTTAAATTCTAACCTATTTCTTTTAACTACTGTAAAGTTATCTAATAATTTTTCAGATAAGCCTTTATTAAGAGAACTCTTAATTTCAATTATTTTTAATATACCTTGTTCTGTCAAATGTTGCTCAAGTATAATAAGATTAAAAATTTCTTTAAATAAAGCATAATCTAATTTTTTAGCTGTTACTAAAGGGTATTTATCAAAATGATCTATTATTACATGTAAATCTTTAAATGTTTCTACTCTATAATAAACTTTACCACTTGAACTATATATATTACCAACTTGAAATCAAGCTTTAATATTTTCTAGTATAGATAAATCTTTTTTATCAAGACCAATAGCAAACATTGCTTTTACTCTTCAATTGATTCTTCTATCAGAACGTGGTTGTAATAAAACAGAAAAAGAACCTTCCGCATCAACAAAACCTGTAATAAATCAAGGATTTAGTTGATTAGGTAGATTATTTGAAATAAATTTTTTTTGGTTAGAAAGGACTTTTACTTGATAATTTCTTTCGAAACCCATTAGAGTACACCTTAAATTCATTAGAAAATATCTAATGAATCAACTACCGTCTACTCGTTGCTCTTTTACAATATTAATTTGGTTAGCAGGTTTAATAAATATTGATTTAGATCCGCGATATCCCATTTCACTTTCGTTCATCTTTTGACTTATTACTATACCTGAATAATTACTTCAGCCACTTATATATTTTCATATATAGTTTAGTATCAAAAGT